AGAAAAGAAAAGAAAAGAAAAGAAAAGAAAAGAAAAGAAAAGAAAAGAAAAGAAAAGAAAAGAAAAGAAAAGAGGCCATAGCAAATGAAACACAGGGGCGGGTCTCTGCCATCACCCCTCCCAGGCCTCACTGTCCCTGGGTATAAAGCAGAAGGGTGCACAGAGGGGAATGCCTCCTGGGATCCTGTAAGCGCAGGAGGCTCCTAGATTTCTGCGCACAGCTGATACATGTGGCAAGAGGTAGACAGTCTTCCTGTTGGTCAGCAACATCCTCCGCCATGGCCACGGCTATGTAAACAGCTATGAATTTCAGCAAGTGCCTGGTTACCCAGGGCCTGGAGGAGCCAAGCCCAGCTGCTCCTACACCAAGGAGGCCATACGTAGCTGGGTGGTTCTGATGAGGAAACACAGGCCTGGAAGATGAAGTGGCCAAGCCAGGGATGGGAGCGCAGGCCTCCCCAGGAGGGACGAGCAAGCTGGGCAGTGAGGGTCACCCCTGTCCCATTCTCATTTCACATTCTTGTTACTCTGGGTAACAAGAGCATCTGTCACAGGGCCAGCTACTTAGGACCAGCGTTAGCATACACACATGAAGGAAGTGAGCATACTTCCTATTTGTGAGTCAGGTGACAATCAACGGAATAGCACAGGAAAAACACATTCCAGAGTTGCACTTTCATAACCCCTGAAGAAGCTACACCATCAGAATCCCTGCTCTAAACAGTGACCCACAGGCTCTGCTGGCCCCACAAGGCAGCAAGGCACTGGCACAGATACACCCCCAACCTTCCACTTCCTCCAGAATCAAATCCAGATGTGGTGAGCTATACCTTAAATCCATTTGGAGACTCTCTCCATTTGGGAGACTGAGACAGAGGGATTGTTTTGAGTTCAAGACCAGTACAGGCTACAAAGTTAAGTTCCAAGCCACCCTGGGCTACACAGTAAGACCCTGTCTCAAAAACAGAAAAATGTCCAAACTAACAGCAGAATCAAATATTGGATCTAGGAGGGATCTCACTCGAATGCCCACCCCATCCTGTAGATCTGGAAGCTGAGGCCATCAGGATCTGCCCAGGTCCTCAGAGGAGCTGGTGGTCTCAGGCAGCATGTAGCAACCATCAATACTCTAGAGGTGCAGGAGGGGGGTGTGTGTGTGTGTGTGTGTGTGTGTGTGTGTGTGTGTGTGTGTGTG